GAATGCCTCTCTTTAGCGCACTGGCACAGAATAGGGTACACAGAAGGCCGACTTCTTTGTTTTTCCTATGATTTTGCTATGATTTTGGCGTAACCCGTAATTCGTCATCAAATGCTGACGCCATGGTCCTAGCCAGTGCGCGTTTGAGAGGCATTCACCCCCCTGATATTATTTAAAATGGTGGATGTCCAGGAGGGGAATGCCTCTCAAACCCGCACTGGCTAGGACCATGGCGTCAGCATTTTGATGATGAATCATGGCGTGGCAGCGTTACTCGAGTCGACCTTCTGTGTATCTTATTCTGTGGCACTGGCTAAGCTTTTGGCGGCCGGTTACACTTTTTTGGCTGAGTTCCACCTCTGTGTAGTATATCCTCTGTGACCTAGTTGAAAATAAAATTCTCAAAAACGGCATGTTTAGCAATAATACAGCTAAACATTTTAGTCAAAGAGCAAATAAATGTAACCACGCCATTCTACGATGAAAACTCTAAGTATTCCCAGTCAATTTTAGCAAATATTTCAAGCACTAAACAGTGAAAAATCCATCGCAAATTTCGTTAAAATTTGTGACGCCAATTTCGTAGCTACAAATGTAAAAAAATAGAAAACAAAGACGAAAAACATTTACCTTGAATACTTTGTCGTGGCTTAGGCATGTTTTTAAAACAATTAGACCAGTTTACGCTTCAAGATCACCCTTTTAAAGTGGAAAATATAGCAAAACAACAAATATGCCGAGAACTTTGGTAATATTCGCAATACGCGTGACGTCACGTTTTTCAACAAGGATGCAGTCAATGACGTCAGAAGTTTCCAATGAAAAAAGCCAAACTAGCTAAAATGTTCTCCCGATTGTAACCAGAAGTGTTTCAGACAAGAGAGTCTAAGGGGCGGACCATTTGATTCTTGAGGGGGCTGCCAAACGTATATACTTGCGTGCAGAACTCTAACTTCCCCTATGCAGAAGGTACTCAAACATAAATGAAAACTAATGTTTAACACGCTTAACATTATCATTAATGTTAATATTAACTATTAATATTTACTAATCAATAATTCAAAAACATTTTTTCCCTCTAGTCCGCGAGTCCTTGTCCGTCAGTCCGCGTCCGCGCCAGCCTTTTTTCAATTATTTTACTTTACCATCCATTATTTCCTCTCAAGCTTAGAATAATAGTTTCTTGGTTTTAAGAGTTCCCTTGCGTTCATAGACAAGCAAACATCCGTTCTATTTCTAATTTTAACCTAAAATTTTGTTTTTATGAATAATAAATGAAGTGTTCCGGAACAATTATATACTGAAGTAGAAGCTTTAAAACGTAAAGTAATTGTTCAAATGGTACGGTTTAAATATTTTAACCGACTATAAGGGGGGCATCAGGGTCCTCGCAGGCTTCATCAGTAGGGCTGTAACGAGGATTCGCGTATCCGTCGTTGTTGCGTGGGCCAGGGTTTGGAGACACAGGATTCTGTTTGTTTTGCTGCGGGTGGTTTGAGGAAGGATCAAGATTAAACTCAGTTCCTTGCCGTTGTATAGGGTTGTCATAATTAAAGCCAGCAAACTGAATATTCGGTTGTGCATTCACAATTTCTGATCCTTCACTTTGGTTATTTTGCAATGATCCTCTGTCGTCTTGCGTTGCGTTGCTTGCTCGCTTTCGTTTATAACACCAAAATATGGCCGTAGGTACGCCAATAACAATAAGTAATACAGCGATGACTATAACAGCAATGAGCCATGGTGGAGAAGAATCTTTGTCGTTTTGTTTGGTTTCTTGCCATGCGCATATATTGTTCGAGTTACAAACCTCACCTTGATCACCACAGTCAGAAGTGGTTCCACATGATTTTCCAGTACAGTGCGCCAGGCACCTTCTAGCCTCGTTTGGGAATCCTTTCTTGCAACAGTAAAGACCTGCAGTACAATCCGAGTCACTAGCACACTTTGAACAACCAAGATTACATTTTCCATCAATACAGCATTCATTAGGAGGACCACAGTCATCATCGAAAATACAAACTTCACCAACGCAAGTTTCAGTACAACGATCTTGCCAAAACCATACACTTTTCTTCGTGCAACAATACTTCCCCGAATCACATTCAGAGTTTGATTTACACTGTTTGAAACACTCGTGTGACTGTGTGTTAATACACTTTCCATCACGACAGCATTCGACTCCCACAGCACAGTCATCGTTGCTGTTACACTGTTGCCCAACACAATCCTTAGCACAGAAAGTTTGATTGAAGGGAAAACTCTTCTTACAACATACATGACCAGAGCTACAGTCCGAGTCCGAAGCACAGCCAGAACAACCACGATCAACACATATATTTGAGTGGCAACATAACGTTGGATCACCACAGTGGCTTTTAGTTTCACAATACTTATCTAAACAATAATAAAGGCCGCACCTTCGCGTCGTACGGTCAATGCTATGTGTATCACCACCACAGCAATACTTGTAAATCCAGTTAACTTTACAATCTGCGTGAGTCTTGCATGTACCAGCATTTTGAACCTTGACACACTCCCGTGACTGTGTGTTAATACACTTTCCATCACGACAGCATTCGACTCCCACAGCACAATCATCGTTGTTGTTACACTGTTGCCCAACACAATCCTTAGCACAGAAAGCTTGATTGAAAGGAGAACCCTTCTTACAACATACGTAACCAGAGCTACAGTCCGAGTCCGAAGCACAGCCAGAACAACCACGATCAACACATATATTTGAGAGGCAACACAACGTCGGGTCGCCACAGTGGCTTTCGGTTTTGCAATACTTATCTAGACAATAAGAAAGGCCGCACGTTCGCGTCGTGCGGTCAATGCTATATGTATTTCCACCACAGCAATACTTGTAAACCCAATTAGCTTTACAATCTGCATGAGTTTTGCATGTAACAGCATTCTGAACTTTTGTTTGGACAGGACTAAATGCGTTGCAAACAAAAACACAAAAGTCGATCCAGAAAATAAGACGATTTACCATCATGAACGATTAATTCTTCCCCAAGGAGGGAACGATGCGATGCAAATAGTTTGGAATGGAAGAAGACTACACGCAAAGACAGACATAGCAGCTGCTCATGACGCATGCTATACAAACATTTAAATTTTTAAAAACCTAAGAAATGTATTGTTTTTAGAAAATCTATAGGTGTACGTTTATTTGCATAGCGATGACAGCCTTGCAATAAGCGAAAGTAATTTTAGCTTAAAATTTATAATTATTCCTGAAATAAACTCCGGCTAAATGTAAGTGAAAGGCCCGCCGAACAAAAATATTTCGGAGAATATCAGAATATGGAAGGGATTTGTAACAAAGGTAAAAATTTATTTAATTCCCTGTTTGAGCAATAAGCTCTTCTCAAATAGAGGCTTTCACCTGCGCAAATGTGGCATTTCCATGGAAACTATACCCATGGAAATGCCACATTTCTGCAGGTGAAAGCCGTTACTTGAAAAGAGCATATTGCTCAATCAATAGACAACTTGCATGTTAGACAAATTTTTGATCTAGCCGATCTAGAAAAAAAGAGTAAATTCCCGTTAAGAACTTATTAAAATTAGTAAAAGTGCAAAATTTGGTTGCGAAATGTTGTAAAGCTTGGAAAATATAGCTTTGTAAAGTTTGCATATTTTCAGTATATTTGTATTACGTGCGGAAATTGTTACCATTTTTGAGCCGAAAATGTAATGTAATGTTGTAACATTTCGCAACCAAATTTTGCACTTTTACTAATTTTAGTATATTCTTTTCAGCTGTGGTGTTTGATTCCCTTTTCTCTGCTTAGATTAAAATTTAGTCGAACATGCAAGTTGTCCATTAATTAAACTGTCGTATTTATATAAAGCCACTAAAGCTACGCGAGCAATAAAAAGAACGAATATACTGAAATCCAACCCAACACGTTGACTGTACAAAACCACGTTGTTCAATATACTGTATAATATCAATGGTAGACATGTAACCCAAGTAGCGGAAACGCTACTAACAACCTC